GTACTACGGGCCGTACGGTCGGTGAGAGAGGCGAGGGAGCGGAGGAAGCCGGGCAAGCAGCAGCAGCAGACGCAGGAGGCACAGCCATCCTCCCAGACGGACCTATCCAAGCCCCAAGTAAACAGAACCGCACGAGGCAGGCGTGGGTAACTCGGGGTCGGACTAATCCGGCGGGGAACGGCACCTCTGACCTACAGCGCAATTTCGGGAATTGCAAGACTGAGGGGACGCGCACGCCAGAGGGAGGGTGAGTGTATCAGATATGATAGGTGTAGAGTTGTAGCCAATCAGAGGCAGGCTCAGTTTAACTTAGATTCAGTATGTAATACAGAAAGACAGATGTAGGGCGGCCGTGGAACCTTCTAGAAGGTTCCATCCGCCTAAACTGTGCTAGCTTCGCAGGCTTCTATGGCTTGCGATGCGATGCAATCTACTGGGCCAAATTGACAGAAAAAATGTAATGATAAACGGAATCCATAAAACATTCTATCTGCTTGTTGTGCTCTTGGTACTTCCTTCGTTTTGGCTGCCGTCTGTACACAGTTAGCTCTCGTTTTTTTTTTTGCCAATTGTTCTAATATTTTCGTGCCAATTGTTCTAATATTTTCGTTCCAATTGTTCTAATATTTTCGTGTTCTTCACAAAAAAAACCAAAATTATTATCTTTCGCTGGACATTGAAGTATTTATACCAAATATACTTTCTTATCAATTTGTTTTTTTTTTTCTCTTGTCAAGCCATACAAAACAATTATGCTCTTTAGTTTTCTCACAAATTTCGGGTATGCTATTACTTAAACTATTTATGAGAACCAGTTTGGTGCTTAAACGCACCTCCAGTTGACTGAGATGGATCATAATGCTTGTAGCAGGAAGGGACAACTTGATATCAGAGGCATTCACACACAACGTCAGAGGATACCCTCCGACGTTTCCTCGGGTTGTTGTCAATTTCTCTTCTGAGCTACACATGTTCAACGTTCGGAACGACAACGTTTTACGATATCGAGAAAGTAGATACAGTGACAGAAATCCCATGTGCCGTTCTATAACTACAAAACGGATTGCTGTCCGTCTGTTCCAACATCCTGCTCGATAATGCCATTCAAAACAAGCACTCCATGTCATAATCATTGCTAAAACGTTTTAATTCAACCAGACATTAATGTGTTTGCCTGGGATATGCTCTAAAATTCCCATTCATGTTTTCTGTTGTATCTGCTCTTCCCGACGACATCACGACCAGCGTTAGCACTTACTTAAGTAACGATGTGAGCTGCAAAATGGACCGAAAGGAGTACACTCCGGCACACTAGGAGGACGATGCCATTCTTCGATTCACAAAGCGCAGCACACTCCTATTGTACGATGAAACTTCTGGGTCTTTTCTCTCTCGTGGTCGTCACTGCCGTCAACGCTGGCGACCCGGTGTATCTCCGCGGAGAAGACTCCGAATCTGCGACCGGCGCGAAACAGTTTGACTTCTCCGACGTGAACCAGGCTGATCAGAGTGAACAGGCTACGTTGTCACTTGACGGTAGTGGCAGCGACGCTTGTCCAGAAAAATGCCCTATGGTTTACCGTCCAGTCAAAGATATGAACGGAGTTGAATACCTGAACGAATGTTTACTACACCTAGCGGAGTGCACAGACAGCTCCATCCTCGCCTCGTCCGATGATACGTAGTATGTTCGGTAGCTTGGAGGATCATACAGTCGAATTGGCTGGTAGCGGTAGCAACGAGCACGTGTTATTGGACATTGGACTTGCGGGGATATTTGGTAGTGACGTCGGCAACGATGATGCGTCGAAGACTAGTCCCGAAGATTTTCTGAACTTGGTGGCTAGCTCAATGACACCATACCGAGACAACCAATAGGCCACTTGTTGCGAGCAAAGAGATTATTTTACGTCGACGAGGTAAAAACATTCAAGAAATAAAAGAACTGTGATGCTGGACGTGATCTAATCGGAGGGATCAAGCGCAGGTTTGTTAAGACGAGTTGATGAGAATCATGCGTACTGGTATCACTACTAGTAGTACTACGATAGTAGATTTTCTAAACACTAACAAACGGTTTTCAACTTGTGCGAACAAAATGGTATTTTGGTACGCTAGTAATTCTTGTGCAACTTGTTTCAAAAGCATAGCGAATATTCTCGCTTACTTTACGAACATTGGGCCAACAGCTTCGTCGATTTTAGTTCGAGAATGGCGAACCCGGCCATCACGAGCCCCGAGCCGACAATGAATTCCCACGAAAACGATGCATGGTGGATGAGCGTATCCATCACTCCAGACAGTGGAATCGTGAGCATGAAGCCGACGCTGGTCTCGAGTGGCGACGTCCAGCAGATCGCAGGACTCAGGCACACAAAATTGATGACGAAAAAGACGATAGCCGCAGTCAACGCCAAGATTCCTTCTTCAGTCGTAGGGAATCCAACCTCTTCATAGAGCGAAGGAATCGGGCTGTTCGCGAAGAATATTGTGCCAATAATCCACGGAGGGAAGGCAAATAATCCACAGAATCCAGAAAACGTGAAAAGCGTCGGGATATCGTTCATATCGTTGCCTACAAACTTCGAGAGCGAGACCGAAAACATCGCACTCATCGCTGCTGCAGTCAGCATCATCATGGCTGCCACTATGCTCGACCCTCCGGCTTCTCTATCCGAGTCACCGCCACCTTGATTCATCACGACCATCACCACTCCAACAAATGCTGTTACCACGCCACACAACCTCTTGATCGACGCTTTCTCGCTTAGAAGACAGATGGAGAAGCAATACACGAAGAGCGGTTGACTGTTGAAGATCGCAGCTCCAGTGGCCACAGTTAGATTCTTGAACGAAGAGAACCAGAAGTAGTCGGACACGAGATAGAACACTCCAAAGAAGACAGACAGTCGCACAAGTCTGGAGAACGGAATGACAGAGTGACGCTCGAACACACGGCGAAAATCGAAACCAGACTGTTTGTCTTCTGGACTGCCGTAAATGCGATAGTAGACGAGCATCAGCGGCAGCATCACGACCTTCACACAGTCACAGGACCAGTTAGTTTTCGCCAGGTAAAGTAATATCTTTCATTACAGATAATGGCTTACTGGTGCAGCATGACTGAAGCACATGATGAAAAAGGGCTTTTGGAAGTTGATAGGTCCCTGTAGACAGAACGAGTTAGTGGATGAGGTACGTACTGCTGGACAAGGCGGACTGCACCAAACCTGGAGCCATTGCACAGATTCTGCCTGAAGGATGTTCGTACAAATTACCCCTACATAGAGTTAGGACCAGTCAGGAATTATTAGTGGCCCCCTTGAAGCACAAATACTACTACGTACCAAACAGCGCGATGAAACCCAGACGCCTCTTGTCCAAGTCGACTTTCATCTCGCTTCCGACCTCTATGTCCTCCAGCAACTTGGTGCGGTCGTTGGGGTGTGGCTTCGTGTAGACGGGAACATTCCCATTATTGCACATCCTATTTGAGGACGTGGAGGTCGTCCTCGTGTTCAATTCCAATTCCTCGATCCTAGTCGAGAACTCGTTCCGTCTTCGAGGGTGCAACTTGAATAATGACACACTGCAAACAAAGCACCCTAGCGCTCACATGTCCAGGCTCACGGATATTTGCTTGCGTAAAGTGAACAGAAAGAGAAATCAATGATTGCGTGGGACGTTATCTTAAAAAAGAGGTTCATACAAAACACGCATCAAAACATACCATCGGCCTCCCCCGGTGATCGTCAATGAGTGAGCAGTCATTACGGCCGCTTCAAGTGTAATTTAAATGCTTTATGCAAGTCACTTCAAATTCCGTAGCGGTATTTCAAATATTGCTTTAAAATAATAAAAAATAAAAACTTCTCAAGTTCTTTCTTGGCACAAAGGGCAAGATGACATTGTGTCATTGTCCTTGCACCACTCCGACCACCCTCGATGAAAAGTGTGCCCGCGGTCCCCAGTACTGAGATGCTGACCTCTACTAACATCGAACGTTGACTAGCAGATCGAGCAGACATTGCTCTTCCGAACAACACTGACCTGGTAACTCCAGGCACCAGCGGTGAAATAGCATCACGTTTAGACTTGGCCACGATCAGCAGACTGTTCCACTTGACGGTAGCTCCAACTTGGTCGGTATCGAAACGATGGTATTTTTCACCTCGTGCATTTCTCCACGTCGAACTGACAGAAAAGTTGCGTGAGCGCTTGCCGTCAGATTTCCACCCATCCACTTGTAGAATCCGCACGTAATTGGCTTGAACTTCTTCCTACATAGCGGACACTTGACGTTTGTATCTGTCGAGAGGTTGAACGGATCGTGACGAATGACCATCTCTTCGAATGCTTTACACCGCCGATTCTGTCATTCCTCTTCAACGTTGATACCTTCGGTGCACGTACGCCAACTTGGAGCTTTGGCATCGAGTTGCAGCTCCACTAGCAATGTGTCCTCATTCTCGAGATCGGCAAAGTCGATTAGGTCTCCTCCTCCACGCATCCTAAGAGCTAAGTCAATTGTGCATGCTACTTTCACTCCATAGTCGTCAAGCGTGTACCTTCATCAGATATCCTCCCATTCATAATGAGGTGCTGCTGGTCTGGTGGGATGCCTTCAAGACGGTAAATCGTCTTCTTTAGTTCTTCAATTGTATTGTTCACTGGGACCGAAAGGGAAATGCATTTGTCTGTCAGAGTCTTTACAGTAACGTCCACAAATCGAGGACTAAACTTTGTCAGAGCGATGAGACGTGGAGAACTTGAAGTCAAGTCGGGAATAACAGCGTCGAGCTTTCTATCGCGATCTAGCTCGACTCCATATAGCGAGTCGCTATTAGCGGCATGCTGTCGACGATGCGTGCATTTCTCTTCTTTTTGGACGTGACTCGAAAATTCGCGTTGAGTGCTTTTCGAACGTCGATCTTTCAATAGGTCTGACGTTTCCACCTCAATGATCCCTTGCAGGCCTTGCTTGAATCTGTCCGTCCGCGGTATGAAGAGTGTGCCTTTTTCCACTCTAGTTATTGAGGTTGTGATGTGCTACGAGGGGGAAAGATATCAACATTTGATATCTTTCCCCCTGAGCACGATTTAATGGTGCTCAGTCCAAAATATTGGTGATTCTACTGCGATTTTTTGATTAGCGAAATGTAACGAAAAGGTTAGATCCAGTTGTGAGCATCATTATTGGAGACAGTTTTCCAAATGTCTCTGATAATGACGCTCAAAACGGGATACGTGTATATTGTCTCCATAATTCGGCAAGCCATTCAACATCTTGCTCTCCCGAACCCGAACGCAGTTCCTTACTCAAGAGATATCTTCAGAGCTATGCGTTCTCGTAGCTGCTCTCTGATACTTGTACCTGTGTGCTGTACTATTAGCAAGACTATCGCTTTCGCCATTAATGACCCGTCAACCGCTGCGACTGCACCTCGAAGTCTGCTGTCTTTTGACAACTTATTGGTCAACAATTCCACCGCTGCAGAAAACTCAGTCGGATCAAGTTCTGCCTCAATGGCAGTTGGAAGTTATCCATCAGGAAGAGGGACGAATGACATAATAACCAGAGGAACCAAGGTGACGTCGAGAAACGGCAACGAAGGGGGTACTATCAGCGTAACAATCTACAACAACAAGGTGGAATCGTCTGGTAATGGCAATGGGGGTAGTGCCATAACGGTGACGATCAACAACAACAACACCCACAACGGTTTGTACCAAAGATTCGTAAAATGGTGGAAGAGACTTTGGAATTCTGAAGCTTCGAGTTCAACAAGTAGATTTCGACACTAGGCGACAGAGTAAGACGGAATATGCCAAGATTAGTCGATAGAAAGTCGATACGCGAATGGAAAAGAAAACACTTGATTTAAACTGCTGCAGTATAGCAGAGGAAAAAAGGAGAAAAAAATTGGCGAAGAAACCTAGCGTAATCGATTCATCTGCGAAGGCCAACTGTAGGGATGCATGCGTTGCATGCGTACCCTAAACATCGCAATTCAAAATACTTGACTATCATTGGCAGAATAATAGCCAGTCCTGTTGTGTTCCAGCAATTCTAGTCTGGCGCTAAACCTCTACCAAACTATTGGTAATTAACGAGCGCGGCGATGGAAAACCAGGATCCCCTCCTAGGAGAGATGAATATTCCTCCCGAAGCCCCATCGTCCCAGGAGCCTCCTCAGCAGATGCATGCACTTCCCCAGGTTCAGCAAACTGTCGCTCCCTCGGAGGGTTCTGATTCTTTGGAGGGGAAATTCTCTAATAAGACTGCAGAATTCAACGTCGGATTTCAGGCTGCGGCGTTGGCGCGCAGCAGGGAATCGCTTAGGTCCGCTTGGAGATCTTTGGGGATACAGAGCCATTGCTGTTGCGATCTTGACTGCTACCAGTAAAACTGTTTGGTTAGGGGAGATTTTTGATTGGCTAAAACTCGAACAAATCGTGCTGCCTGTTAGCCGATTGCACAGCCAATCAAATCGCAATGGGATTGTTTAGCATGCATGCGTCCGAAAAACGCTTCGGTTGAGAACGGGCCTAAGAAAGTGTCTTTTAGGAGGAGCAGATCATCAAACAGGAAAACGCGAACCCCAGACAAAACTTTGTACTTAACGTTGCGCTCCATTTGGTCAAAAAAAAATAGTTGTAGATGACATGGATACTAAAACAGCACCCTCGAAGCTTCCGGCGTGTTCAAGTAATACTAAGAAGTAGTTTCAATCGAATTGAGCCATTTTTATGTTGTACGTATGGACATGACGGTCAGGGTGGGAGGAGTATTAAGCGTACAGTTCGGATTCATCATATATTATACTGGGATAAAAGAAGTTTACTTTAGTGATATGGATGTCAACCGTATTCTACTACTTGTAGTCAGAGCCATTCCGCTCGGATTAGATAGACTCATATTCAAATACTACAACCGTTACAATAAGTATCCAACAAAACCTGACCGACTCGCCGTGCGCTTTCGAATTTGGTACACGTGCTTACTGTTATCACTGAAAATGTATTTACGGATGAAGCGATCTAAAGAAAAAATAGCAAACAAGCACGAGTTCGCGACCTAAAACCTGTGACAGTAGTGAAGATGCCTGCTTCCTCCACATCCTCAGTCTCTTCTCGGTAAGAGTACAGCACTCTAGAAAGACAACCATCGGGACTCACTGTTTAACACTGGACAGATCGTCACACAAGCGCCCGACCACTACAAACGCAAGCAAGCTCAATCGAGGCGAGCCACAGCTTTAAACCTATGCTACGTCAGTGCTATTCTAACGATCAGTGCTTTGTTCATAGATCACAAATTACTTCTACGCGCTGAAAATGACTTTGAAGAGGTAAAGAACTCAATTTCTTTGTTTAGTGCCACTTTCACTCTGACTTCTGTATAGACCGCCTCTGTAGCATCAACGACGAGCCCACGAAGCTCATATTCTACTTTATCTCGATTAAGCCACGGCAGTCGGCGAACAAAAGGAGCCTCGCCTTCACTTGCGACAACATGTGAGTTAGTATCCTGATGAGTATCATTAAAAAAAATACCGCTAAGACTAAAGTTAAAGGTGTAGATGTATCTCTCAGTGACTTGGAACTACGCAAAAGCCAAATTGAACGCGAATTAGCGCAAGTGCAACGCGAGCTGCAACAACGAGAGTCCCAGCATGCTGCAGCATGTGTGCCGTCTTCTACGTCGCTGCCAACAAAGTTGCAACGGAAATGAAACCAGTTAAATCGCTCAAGTTTGAAGAACAAAAAGCTCAATAATAATACTCTTTCAGATATAATTTTTTTTAGAATTCTCGACAGTCGCCAAAACGCACTGTCTCTCGAAAGTTCAGATCGTATTTGATTGGCTAATACGATCCAATGTTGCGTTAATGTTGCGCCAAGTGGAGGTCGTCGTCACACCGAGACTAAGTCGCCTTCGCGCATCATGGCGGACGCGGCGCCTCCACGACTGAGCGGCACCATCTGGAAGCGCAACGCCGGCATCCTACGCGCTTGGCACAGTCGGTAGTGGCCTCAACGTTTGCATCTCCGTGTTATAACAAGCGAGAGGGAGTTTAATCTTCTCGTTTCGTGATGCAGAGCAGCAGTGGTGACAGCTGATGGTTTTTTATTATACAAGAAAAAAGTGGACGCGTACGTTATTTATTCATCATTTATTGTTTTTATATGTTCCCAACAATAACGTATAGGCACACATCTTTTATTTGTTGTATGTAAAAAAATATTCACAGATTCAAGACAAAGAAGATCGACCTGGCCAAAGTGAGTCCAAGAGGAAGTTAATGTCTGCTTAAATACCAACGCTAACTTTTATTTTTGTTGTATTTAGGCGACATTTGCTGCGTCGATCGCTCAGGCTAATGGATATTACTACTTCGAGCTACAATGCGGGCAGGCACAAGTGGCGATTGGGTTTTCAGCAATCCAAGACGCTCGACTGTGGTTGAGCGGCATGATGGAGGCAGCCGGTGAGGTTTATTACAAGCTCCGCGTATTTTAAAATTATGATTTTGTTGTGTACTGATGAATTGCCGTTATTATAGATGAAAACAGTGCAGGGCGACGAGCGTGGATGGCGAATTTACACCGCATGTTGACACTCAAGTTGCGTGACCGACGGGAATTGGTACCGGCTATGGCCGACAGAGATTGGTTCAGCGAGTGGAACTTCTGTTTGCGGTGAGGAAAATAATACTATTTTTTCTTGTACACTTCTAGGTTTCTGACAATGGTAAGATGTATCATTGTATAGATCTCTGAAAAACGATAGAGAGCCGATTGCTGCGCGTCAAAGACGCCTGCGGCGGCTGCATACGGTATGTTTGGTATTCTTTGACTATTTTTTTAATCTTATTTCTTTTAATAATAATGTTATTATTGTAGATTTGGCTACAATTCGAGTTATTTGCTGAGATTCTAGCGGAGATCTTCTTCTCGTCCGTTCAGCAACGCGATGCACGGGGTCTCGCTCGAATTGAGTTGTTCGAACGAGCAGCGAGTGACTTTGCTTTAACTGGGCAAAGACCCGACGTCTCTCAAACAGTTGGGGACAACCAAGAGCCTCATCCAAGTGTCCTATCATCAGCACCAACATCATTCTCCTCCACAATAACATCCACCCAAGGCAACGATAATGATCTCGCAGCAACCAATACGTACACAAGACGTGACGATGTGGACGAGATGAAACTCGCTGGAATCCACTTGGAATTCGCTTCTAAAAGTTGGCAAGGACACAAACGATTGACCAAAGAGACAGCGTTATTCGCCAAGTTCCGCTCGCTCATCGAGCTCTTCCTTTCGGAGAGCGCTTCGGACAACGGCAAGCTCCCGTCTTCACTTCGAGCGGTACTGTCAAAGCTGCCGTCTTTCCCGCTGGTTTCAGCGTTTTCCATTCGAGGTGTGAGTGTCGTAGCGATAGCGGAGCCACTACGAAGCGAGCGATCCACACTCGCGACGATAGATAACCGTGATCTTGCAGGGTTGAGTATGGCACTTCGAGAAGCCAAGATGTTACGGTACTTCCCGTATCAAGAGCTACCGGAGCTGGTTGTTCGACAATTCCCCGGTAACGTTGCGCCTACGTTAGTGAGGGTACATCCGCGGTACGACAATGTACTGGTGAACTCTCTACGGTCTTCGATGGTCCACGGGATCCTGATTCGAGCGGTGCATGGCGTGAGTGGGAATACGAATCGCGTTGAACTGTTATCTGCTCTTGACGTTGAAGAACTAGTGGAAACGAGAGTGCCGCAGTGGATTCCGTACTTGGATCTGGTGTACTATCAGCTGGACAACGGCGAGTCTCCAGTCGAAAACTTGGCAGTCAAAGACTTCCTGCTACAGACTGGACGGAGGTTGACGGGGGATGTTGTGATCACGGTTGATGCAGAGAAAAGTAAGTTGTTGTTGGATTTACCCGAAGCTTTTGTGATGAAACACGACGTGGACATCCACCCACTTGTAAGAAAGTTACAAGGCATCAAGAAGAACGCTGAAATCTTCGCGTTAGCAGCATCCAATCCCACTTTTTCAGGACATTCTCGACCAGTTGATACGAGTATTCAGATGGCAAGAGAATACGAAGATGGAGTCAAGAAATTATTCGTCCAGCACATTAAAGAGTTCGCAGCACAGCTAATCACACTCGGGGACACGACAGACTCCAAAGCTTCTACCTATGGAAGACCGAGAGCTCCGACGTGGAATCAGTCTCAAAGCTCATCCCGTGCCCGGTTAACTCGCTCGAATACCTTCTCATCGATGCCTCGACCGGAAGATATCTTCTCGTCTTCAAGCGTGCAACCGACGGAGTTTGAGCTAATCTCTCAGCCTCGATTACAGCGCAGAATGTCGTCTCTGAGCTCTATGGCGCAGACTATAAGCGCAAGTGGAATGGCTGATAGCAACGCTGGCACATACGTCATTGACACGCTGCATCTCCGTCAAGTTTTGCGCGAAGGAGGAGTCAATGTGCGATTTTTACCGCTGGTATTCCAGTATTTAAACAGCCGAGACCAACTAGGCGTTCAAGTGCTGGTTGCTAGTAAGATAGTCGCTCGACTGGCGAAGAACCTGTTCCGATACCGCATGCTCAACGAAGATACCGGTAAAACTAGTCGCTGGAAGTCCAGGAAATCACGTTTGATCAAGTTTATCGACTCCATTATGCACGGGCTTTTCCACAAGAACCTCCCGGACGGACACTGTTCTATTCAAGAGTGCACTGGGGACCAATTCTGGGATATTGATGGGCCTATTATGTACTCACTCGGAGTATTTTCATCAAGTTTCGCGATGGATTCAAAGGCACCGAACGACGTGGTTAATTCCGTTAGTTCTTGCTTGGATAAATACCGCGATCTGCTGAAGGTTAACCCTCCTATTCTTTTCAACAGTCTGTTGCATGTTTTCCAAGCGCGATTGACTAAATCGATCCTACCGGAACTGCACGAAAATCGGTTTGTGTCGGTACCATTCCTACGAACGGAAGATGACTTGACGTTCAACTACGAAGAAGACGACCCGAAACTTGCAATGAGGATTCACCAAGACTTACTCTGGAGTCATTTGCAGTTTTTCCGCGTACAATTCGAAGCTTTGAAGCCTGAAATACCTATAAACACCGGTATGGCTCAAGGTACAAGAACAGGTAAACTGGAGTTGACGACATGGACGCAGTATTACCGGACACTATCGCAGATATTCCGACAAAGTCTAGAGCATCCACAGTTCACGCGATTGGAGAAGGCGATCCAGTCGTGGCAGGATTTAACCTCGGTTCGAGCGCACTTAAGCCTAGCATTACGTGCCGCTGCTGCTCCTTCGTATCCGTCAGGGAATAGCAAGACGTCGGCTATTATTCGAGAGCACTGCAGCTTTGCCTATTTGCGAATGGCTTCCAGTAAGGCCCTGTTTCCGATCGAGTACAAGCTCGCGTTGCGATGTCTTGAACTGGTTAGTGCCGGTGAAGAACTAGTCAAAGCGATGGAAGAGTCCGATGAACTTCTCGAATGGCTGAGGTTTTTCTACCGACCAGCGAATCCCTCGCAATTCGCCAAAGGCTCGTCATCTCACCCGGTATACTCGGTCCAATACTCGGCCGGTATTGAATTTGATACCGGTATACCGAATGATACCGTGACATCTCTTCGAGAGAAATTCCAGCGTCAACAATCTCGACAGTCGTGGATGTCCGTCATGTCGAATGTGGACGCTTACTGTCGCCGAATTGAAGCCTTGAGGCGAGATCCGGTGGCTGTTGCAGCGACCAGAGCCGTGTTGTGTGAGATGGGGGTCGCTTCTCGCCCCATAAGCCCTTCCAGCAGAGTTCACGGCGCTGTTATGAACGTATCTTGGGCGGACAAGTATCAAACATCCTTCAGTTTCCATCCAGAAGACACGAATATGCTGTCTTCGATGTATTCGTCACGTGGTGATGCCCTCTGGTTCATCGAGTGTTTCTTCTTACCTCCTCTGGCCAATAATTCCTTGCTAGTTGCAGGCGATGCACTGGTTAATAACGAGGAGATTTCGAGTCGAATGACCACTACTCGTCCAGATATTGACGAAGGTCCAGTGCCTGGCTTAGCGTTGGCGTGGGGCAATCCGCTGGGTTTATCACTGGATGAAGAGGCTCGGATCAGCCACGGAGCTTCGAAGATGTCACTACGGTTAACTACGGAGAATTCGTCTTCTGTTCGTATGATCTCGTTCCCTCCGCCACTTCGTCGAGTCGTCCAGATCGCGTGTGGATATCGTCATACCGCTCTAATTACCGACGACAGACACTTGTATACGTTTGGACATGGAGAATGTGGACGTCTAGGACACGGAAACGAAGAGGATTGTACCGATCCGATACCGGTAGGATACTTTACGAGTCTCATCGCAGCGGAAGGTGTAGAATTCGGTGGCGTTGTGGGCGTCTCCTGTGGTCGAGAACACACGATGGTAGTGACAGGTAACGGGGATTTGTACGGCTTTGGATGGGGCGAAGCGGGTCGTCTTGGTACAGGCGAAACAGGCAGCAGTTTGTACCCATCTCGCGTGGAATTGAAGAACATTTTGGCTGTAGCATGTGGACGCGAACACACACTGGCGCTTACGAGAAAAGGTCGAGTGTTCGCGTTCGGTGCTGGCTTTGGAGGGCGTCTAGGCAATGGCTCTGAAGCGGATGAAGAGCTCCCGTTCCTTGTAGAGGGGTTGGAAGAGTACAGCATTGCTGCGATTGATGCTGGAGAGTGTCATTCGTGTGCATTAAGCAGAGAAGGAGAAGTGTTTACGTGGGGGTTTGGCAGCTCAGGAGCGCTGGGTCACGGTGCTCGAGACAACTGCTTGATACCGAAGCTCGTGGAAGGACCGTGGACAAACCCTAATATGGATTTTGATGGAGAAACCCTAACACATGATATATCCGTTGTGGTATCAGTTAAATGTGGGAGTTATCACACACTAGCAGCGACGAACGATGGTGTGCTTTACGGCTGGGGAGACGCTGCTGCAGGGCAGTTGGGAGTAGAAAATCTTACAGCACAAGATATGGTGGTACCTTCTCCAACGAAAATTCGAGTTCCGACGAGTTCTGGGATCCGTGGAATCGCGTGTGGGACTTTTACGTCGGCGGTGTGTACAACCCAGGGCCATCTCTTTATGTGGGGCTCTCCCGCAGCTGGAAACGGAGCCCCGTTGGATGTCGAAGACGCTCACGTCAAGAGGATCGGCGTACTGGGGGAATTCGACTTCTCCCAAATTGCTTGTGGTGCGTCGAATGTGTGTGGGAGTTTAATCTTTATAACTAACTTGATACATGTTCATGTAGGAGCATATCACGCCGTTGCTATTACTCGAAAGCTGGAGTATTGCTGATACCCACTGATTGACCTTATCAGATATTCGAAAGCTAACCACTCAAGCCTTGGAAGCACATTTCTCGAGTGCCTACTCCCTTCATGAAATGCCAAAATGGAATCGCGCATTGAAACGCTCAAAACTAAAAATGCAATGGTTTCACTAAAATTTTTGAACCAGCATGGTGCATCGAGTCGGGCCACTTGAGCAACCAAGGAAGCCTGAAAGTGTGTCAATATTCACTCTTACCAAGCGGAAGCTCGTTGTCTCTTGGCATCGAAGTCATATCGGACACCGAAGTCAATATTCCATCGAGCGTCTTCTCGCCTTTCGAGACTATCACCAACGTATTTCGATCACTCGAGTTATCTGTGTATGTGTCCTAACACCAGTTCCTGCCTTGTTAACCGCGTTCTCGCTTGACTGCATCCCTCTCAAGCCTCCAGAGGACGGTTGGCAAGCTAACTATGCAGTCTGGATTCGCTTGTTCCTCGGATTATTTTCCGCAACTGTGGGCGTTGCCTTCCAAGTGAGAGCTGTCATCCAGCCCGATACGCTGTCAATGACTGGCGTTGCTGCAATCGCACTGGGGACTGCAATGTGCAGCGTCTCGACTTTGCTAGGACTTGCAGTGATATGGAGGTTCCCAACTCCTTTCGGCTATATCCTCAACATTGTACCGTACGTCCTATTTCTCTCGACATTCACGATTTTGGTCATCGGTCCCCGAGTTCTACAGCGTTCACCGGTGCTACGAGAGCAGATCAATTCGCAGTTATTGATTATTGTGAGCCAGGGAGGCGTCGTTGGGTGCTTTACGATCTTCAGCGCTGTGTTTAATCTGTTATCAGGGACCCAGCAGACAATATTCATTTTGGTGATCCCCTTGATCAAGTTTGTAACCAAGCAGAATATTGCCAACGTAGCAGAAAGTTATCATGAATATGTCGGTCCGGTTGTGGTGTTCTCGGTGGATCTCTTCAACGTTTTTTACGCTTCCATTTGTATGCAAGCGTCCAAATCGATCATGACTACAGTCATCATCATGGCGGCAGATAGTTTCCATCTCATGCTTGCGTTACAAGCCATTTTTCATCAAACTCGCAACACCGCAACACTACCCAAGCCCAAATCACAGAGTTTTATTCAAGAATTACTATCGCTGATGGAGAAAGACGTGGAGGTTCATCCTTGTGGTCGCCGAGCTCGATTACTTGCACCGTTTCCACTTCCACTTTCGGACGAGAGTAGACAGGTTGTCATGAGATTTACAAGAACGGGCACTTTTACTAACGACACAGTTATCAACCGTCGGCGTTCTACTAAAAGGAATCCAGCAGGAACAGACAACTCTACAAACACAGCGACACAAAATAACCAAACAGCTCCATCAAGCGCAATGGTTCCATTGGGACCTTTAGCCTCCAATACCCAAGACAATAATGATACAACCAAAGCTACTAGTCGCGATATTATCGTCGATGGCCTTCACACGCTCTTCCACTCCGAGTATATCCTCCTGGCGGAGTACATCGAGTTTATCATTCCGATGCTCTACGCGCCGTATCTCGTTGCATTATTTCACTTACCGATCGCAGCTTACTACCCAAGTACAGCGTCAATGACACTGCACAAACTGAAGCATACTGTGACGAGTTTCTTGATTTATGGCACGATCGAATTTGCAGCGTTTGTGGCTTTGGTCGTGATTTTGAAGCGAAAATTCGGGTTCTCACCGTTGTACCAACTCGCGTTTGTACTCGAGACGCACATGTTTGCAGTGCAAGGACACTTGTTTGTGTGGACTATCACTATTCTGCATCTAACACTTGCGCATTACGGTTTGTAGCGTGCATATAAAACACCAATACTACATCGTCTGACTAACGTGGTTTTGATCATTAGGTGTCGACTTCAACATTCTTACTTCATGACTCAGCGCTTCGGTCAGGTTTCTTCTGGTATGGCCGGCGGGAGTCTTGAAGCGAACTCACACGATGTTCCAGTGTTCGAGGTTTGGTCGGAGCATGAGCAAGCACGTTGCAGCCCTCGACCGATAGCAATTGGGCGGAGTGTGTGTCCTATGTGACATCGACGGCAACACAGTCGACAGAGTGGCGATATTTGGCAAGTATCACACTGGACGAAGATGCCAAGAACACTTTGTGTTGTAGTTTGCGAGCTTCTGCACTGACACAGCGACACTAACCAATACAGGACAGGACGTTGATCTTAGTAGTGGAAAATGCAAAAGTAATTGGTAAGCTACCTTTACGGTTGTGCTCCTCGTGGCGTAGAGCTGGTGTAATGCCACCAAGCGAGAACTTCCTCCATCGGTCGATTTGGCCACCTATACAGAACAAATATAAGTAAAAATCCTCCTTCTCTATAAACCTAGAAAGCATACCGATTCGTAATTGAGCTAAGCAATGATACGAGCCAACCGAGAGTTGAGTGACGAAAGCAGTGCTAGGAATGTTGCTTGGTAGATCAACACTCCACGGTACATACGTTGTGCGTCCGTCGGCTCTACAGGTTTTGCCATAGCGAGCATCTCCCCACGTGAATACTTGGCCATCACCTACATAACGTATCTGTTAGAACAATTACTACATGTAGTTTAGTTACTACACGTCTTGCGTACGCACTCGTTAGAGCTGCAGAAAACTGCGCTCCAGCGCCAATGTCTGCTACATGAACATTGACAAACTCGTCCAGAAACGAAGGCATGTCAACGTGGTCAGCACTGGAAGCAATTCCAAGCTGACCCAAATGGTTGCCTCCAAACGCATACAAGAACGTTTGAGCACCAGCTCTGCACAAAACTAAGGAATGACCTGCTCCAGCCGCAGCCTTGACGGCTCCTAAGCCTCGAAAGAAGACAATCTCTGTTGGGAGTAGCTCGTTGCTAGAGCCACCCAAGCCCAAACATCCGTGCTTGCCTTGACCCCAGACCATCACGACGGAGTGTTCAGTTGCTAGACTCTCTTCGTGTTGGTCTGACCGATGGAATGCTTCTCTTGGAACGATAACTCCAATCACGTGATCGCTCCCAGCCGCGATATCAATGACGGTATAGTCTTTCAGAGATTCGATTGGAGTGGGGGTACTCACGTCAGCCACTTTGCCATTGCCAAGCTGACCGAAACAACCTCGACCCCATGAAAATACTAAGCCAGTACTTGTGATGGCGACAGCGAAGTGGTTCCCAGCGGAGATTTTAACCACGTTATGTCCATTCAGGCCTTCCACTAGTCTCGGGATTCTCTCGACGATCACAACTTTTTCCGGCGGTTCTTCTCCTTCTTCGCTGTCTTTTTCGCCGTCAAGATTGTCGTTAGGATGTCCGGTTTCGATCCTTGCTTCGATATCTTCATCTGTTTCGGTGGTTAATTCAGCGACGTGTTCTTGCTCCAGTTCCTCCCCGTGGCCCAGTTGGCCGAAAATCTGTGTACCCCACGAATACAACCGTCCTTGATCTAGTATCAAGAGAATAAAAAGTGAAC